CCCTACATATGAAGTTTTCACGTGATGCGGCGATCCCGAGGATTCCAGCCCCTCACTTGCTAAAGCAAGGACAACTCCAGCTAGCTGGTGCTAGCTTTCGTGATTATGGATGGCAGATTAAAGAAATAGTGAATAATAATAATTCTGCCATCCCAAGACCATTAAATAATATATAAACGATTGCTTTTTTATTCATGATTTTGTTCATTATAAAAAAGCCATTAATTATAAATAAAAAATAAATAATGCATGACCAAAATCCAAGAATAGATCCACTTTTTTATTGCATGCCATGGATTTTGGTCATTAATATAAAACAAATTGGATTAAGAAGCCCAAAAAAAGACTGTTTCTCTCAATTCTTTCGCCATTTTGAGACAAGGAGCCTTTGGCGGCCGTATCCTCCAGGAGAGTCTTCACATTGCCAGTCCTATTGGGGCCGGCGGTTCAAGACTTGTACATTCTGCCAGCAAGCATTGCCTCCCAGCATGGGTGTCTAAGATGCCAATTTGGACTGAGTGCGCCTTCGGTGTGCAATACCCCCAAAGGGAGCAAGAGTGATGAAAGGTCTGATAGTACGAACCTAGACACCTCACAGCTCTGAAGGCTTGTCTAAGACTTGCATGATCATGGAAGGATCTCATTTTCCAACTGTGAGAGTTCACCAAGGCTGCCCGGGCAACAAGCACTCCATTCTCATGAAAGCTACAACATCCTTCCACTGACCTCATTGTCCCGCCCAACCCCGGCCATAAGCCCAGGCCCCTTCCGATCCACCGGCGCTCCCGAAGCGGTGGTACGGGTGCTGCGGGTTCGCACGACTATTCAGCACCTGGTGACGAACTGTCGAAGGGACCGTTTTGGAGTGCTGTGAACTCTCGAAAAGCCCTATAGTATACGAAACACGAAGACGGCGATGGGGTTGAGGTTCTCCCCCTGCTTCAACAGATGCATCCAGTTTTTCCACTAGGTCCCGGGAAAGAGTTACGTCAATCTTCTTCACTCAGCTCGACGCAGCATCCAACCACACATCCAACCGGTGCGGTTGAATTCCGCGAATTGGTTCGTCAGAAATCAATCTAGTACAATTGCGGAGGTCCTTGCCGAGCGCCGCTTTTTGTGTGCTCAAATCCACAGTACTCCCCTGCGAGCCACATGGAACCCCCAAAATAGAGGCCACTCAGGCTTTCGGTAGGCAGTTTCCTGAACTATCTAACTTTGAAGTGTGGCAAGGGAACTCCCAGTGATTCCGGGACCTAAGTCCCAGCAGGGGCTGATTCCGTCTCTGACGCAAGTCCGCCAAGTCCACAGAGTCCACAAGGCCAGTGCCACAAATCTGGTCTGAAAAGCCTGAACGGACCAAACACCGACCTCTACTCCACACCAGCCGAACCCACCCGTCCCCTCTGGCCCCGTCCCCGGTCCCGACCCAGCCTGGCCCAAGCGGTACACATCGTTCGGCCTCAGCGCGCGGTCACCGGTTCCGCCGGACGAGGAGCGAAACGAAAGGACTTGAAGACTCGATTCTTGCTCCGTTCGGAAGCAAGCAAAACTCATCGCTCAAATTGAAGAAATGCTCCAACATCGCCAGTGCACCAGCAAGCAACTCGAAAAGTTCACGGGACTGGCCCTGTGGGTGGCCATGCCCTTTGTTCCTTACTCGGCACAAGGCCCAGGAGCCACTATTTAATCGCATCCTTGCTGGTAGCGATGGCCTCCACCCTGCCTGGAACCAGCACCACCCGGGTTGGGTGCTTTTTTTTGACCCCCCGCTGAAGATGTATGGTCCATCCAATCACCACCCAAAAGGGCTGGAATGCATTCATTGGTTTTCATCTGAAAAAAAGGGGAATCCAACTCCTCCTCAGTTTGTGGGAAAGGAAGGCTGAGCAGCAGAGATCGGAAGGCTCTGCGAAGATCCTAGACGTCTTCCTGCGGGAATGGTTGAGACATACTGGCCATGAGTCGTTGGGTGAACTCGACCCATCCGGGGTTTGGCTTTTTGTCTCCATGTCCAGCCCCCTAGTATTCCACAGCAGTCGATTCTCAGGCACCCCCTCACCCTGCAACCCAAAGTGTTTGGGCGATCCGAACTTGCCACAAAACACCGAGATCGAGAACGAAGGAGGCCAAAACTAAAACAGGGAGACCCGGACCCGGTGCATTCGCGGCCGTGGGAACTACCAAAACTGAAGGGATGAACAGGTTGGAAGGCGGAGGGTGGCACAAATGGCCATCGCCGGTGGGTCCGGCCTCGGCGGACCGGAGAAATACATCGATGAAGGGATGGCCCTGAGGTCTGCTCCGGCGCTCACAGAATCGGCTCCGGCGGGCTCCGATTCTTTTTGATCCAGCCCGCCATGACATGCACACATGGGGTTGACCTGGCCCAGACACCATCTGTTTTGATTGGAAGTCGGATATCTTTGGGCGATTGGTGGTCCAAAATAGAGGTCACGTATATGGACGGTAGTCGTTCATGGTCGGTCGTTTTTGGGCACCTCATCCAGCTCAATGGGCACTCCACAGGTTTGGCGCGATCGAGTCTGTATAGAGGGATCGATTCAATGCAAAGGTGAAAAAAAGACATACTGACCTTGAGCACAGACATGGTACCTGAATTGACAGAGTTCTTCTCACGTGGGGTATGGCCATACCTAATCAATTCAGGTAATGGCGGTTTTGCTCCACTTGTCGAATCAGAAAAATAGGACGTCGCAAAGAAAACCATCCGCTGGCAATACTACCTTTGTGTGAAGATGACGCATGGATGACCCCTCACCACAACGAAAAAACAATAATTATGATCAGTGGAAAATAGAGGTCAAGGGAAATCGACCCCAAGTCATACTGCACCCACTCTTCCAACCTGCATCTTTCCTTCATCACCTGAAAGTGATCACTTTTATGTACAATGTATCTGTATCTGTGTCACTAGTTCACTCATCTGCGGTGTCTTAGTGATCCAAAACCGTTTCTGTCTTTCACCCGCCGAAACCCGTTCGGACAGCACTTCGTCGGCCAAGCCACACATTCTTTTGGTGCTCGCTATTGATGGCATTCACCTGCCAGCAGGCATTAAAGACTCAAGGCCATCCTGGGAACTGTTGGGGTTCCCCTACAAACCGACACACACCAGTAAAGCACAACAAAACCTGCTTAACCCCAAATCTAGTGCGCTGAGACAACGCGAATCCGCACTATGGTTTTTTGATACCACTCACCCATCAAAACTGTGCTCGGGCCATCCCCCGGGCTTCACTCAACACCCGCACTTCACCCCCATCCACTTCCGCCGCCGCCGGTGCCGGCGGGCGCGAGACCGCGCGCCTCGCGCCCGGTGGCGCTCTCGGTGAAGAGCGGCGCCCGGAAGAAGGCGCCGAAGCGCTGCAAGGCGCCGGCGAAGCCGTCGGTGCCGCAGCTGAAGAAGAAACAAGTGTCCTGGGGGGTGGCGGCCGCGGTGGACACCTGTGCCACTTTGGGGATCCTGGAAGGACGGGTGTGGGTCGTCGTCATTTAGCATTGTTTCTGCAATCCTGGAATCTATTAACCAGGGGGCAGAACCATGACCACTCACTGAACAAACTGCAAACAGGTTTGAACTCGAAAAGCTGCGGGCGGTGTTCTGATTTTCCGAGAAGTTGCTGGCATGGGGTCTTGGCACTAGCATTCGTGAACACCATCGGAAAGATCTCTCAGGCAACGAGGGACCCACTTCGTCATGAAGTGCTCTTCGCGGGCGCCCAAGTTGAGCCGGTGTCACACCAATTCCGAACAAACACAGGTTTCACAAAACCTCCCTGGCTCACCTCTACAGGTTGAAGTCTTAAAAGGCATATGGGCGTGCCTACCACGCAAAGCAAGGGTGGGAAAGCGCGGGACCTTTTCTGAATGGCTGTTCATCGACTTGACAAATAAAAGGGAAGAGACTGAACAGTTGTCATGAGAGTGACAATGAGGTACCAGCTTACCTACCGAACACCTGTGCACCACTCACTGAACAACCCCGCAAACAGGTTTGCTTGACTCGAAAAGCCGCGAGCGGTGCTCCGATTTTCCGAGAAGCCACTGGTATGGGGGCGTGGCACCCAGTAGATCCATCAACAGAATCTTCGTGAACAATGGAAAGATCTCCCAGGCAACAAGGGACCCACTTCGTCAGGAAGTGCTCCTCCCGAGCGCTCGAAAAGCTTGCGCCGCTTGTGGCGCTCGCCACATTCGCGGTGTCCACAGAGTTCGGGGGGCAGGCTTGATTATTTGAGCGCTTGAGCTGCAGGTTCGTGTTTCTATCCCGCAGTTCAAGGTGAACCAGAAGATGGCCATCGAGCTTGATCTTCAGCTATTCTCCGTCATTGGTCATTGGTCGCCATCTACATGGCTGGAACGCAGCATGACTGAGATCTTCGCCAGACAGCGAATCCCAGCGAGCGTAGCAGATCCGCATAGTCTTGAACAGAAAGATGTTCAAGTGATCATCGCTGGATGGGGTCCTGACCAACGACCTGTCACACGCCCGGGGACAGGTGTCTCATATTGGCTCTCTGGCGCTGATGGCATGGCAGGATCCGCTGAAGAGATGTTGGCCAGAATCCTCGTCAACTCGAGTCCAAGAGCTCACCGATGAAGCATCGCCCCGGCAAGCAGACATGTTGTACACTTGCCGCTGGCGGGCCGCGGGCAGTGCCTTCAGCCACCATGGTCGCTCCCAGGACCGAACTGAAAAGCTTATCTTTTTGGCTTGGCGATTGAACTCGCAGAGAGCGAGCAAATGACGTACATTTTGATTTTTGGTTTTGCAGTCACTTGCAGCCGCTTGCAGCCACTTGTCACTCAAGCAAGTACACTTCCACTTTGAGTTCAAAACTGCAAGATTTATGTGAAAATACGAGCTCAATGTGAGCTCGCCAAAATGGCAGCGTCGAGCGACGCGTTTTCGATCGAACTGAATGACTGTTCATCGAATTGAAAAGGAAAAGGGGGAGACTGAACAGTTGTTATGAGAGTCACACCCAGGTACCAGCCTACCTACCGAACACCTGTGCACCAACTTTAGGGCTGTCCTGGTGCAAAAAGCTTTACGTCAGGGAGACGATCCGACAAAAGGGGGCCAAATCAACTCCAGGGCCAGCGATCGACGGCTGATCGACCTAAGAGCCCCTCATCCAGAAACTGCAGGGTTTTATGTTTATCACTTATCCCCTTCTCCGCATTTTCGGTCCAGTGCAAGTTTCACCACCTTTGTGAAGTCGGAACGAAAACGACTTTGGAGCCAAGACCTCTGCCACCTGTGCCACCTGAGTGGTTTCACCTGTTGGATGGAAACCGTCCATTTTTTCGATGTCTGATCCTTCCTACTAGCGATGGCCTCCAACCTAAGTGTCTCATCCTTCATCTCCAAGTGAATGGCTCGATGCTTCAGGATGCACCATGGACCTACTGAACCCCCCAAGCGGCCAAGCTGTAAACACCTCCGGACTCCGCATGTCACACCCAGAACCCATGGCATCTCCACAAATCCAACATGCCTGTGCTTGTCGCACCAGACCGACCCGGCGCATCACATGGTCGGACTCTCCTCCGCTTCGGTAAAAGCGTTCGAGAAGCCGCTATTGGCCGTGAGATACGCGTCGAAACCTCGGGTCCGAGAAGCGCGCTTGCGGATTTCCGGACCGAAGCGGACGACGAAAGGGACGACACGTCGAATTCATTGCGTCGTCGCTTCGAAGGATTCGACGAATGGGTCTTCTCTACAGCATTGTTTGTCGGGAGATTGGGGGGTCAGAACCCACATCCGTTCCCTTTTCCTTTCCTGATCAGCACGAAGGATGCGCACCAAGGAGACTGGGAACGCCCAGGAGCTATTCTCTTCGGGGAAGTCCTGGGCAGAGAAGCGCTCAGAAGGCGACAGCAGGTACGATGCAGTGACTGCATCGAGCAACATGCGACATACAAATATGACCATTTCACCATTGTCTTTGGACATACTCTATCTGAATCCACTGATCTAGTTCATGAAATCTGTCCCTTCTCAATTTCTTTGGAGGTCCAGACAGGACACAAAGTCCTTGAGAAAGAATTCTTGACACGCTTGGAGAACACTCCGAACAACTTCGAACCCGCCATCTTCAGCGTCGCGGAAAAAAAAACATGCGGAAAATGGATGTCCCATGGTCTATCTCAGACCTCCTCCATCCTCTTCCACTCGATCTGAAGGCGAAGCCCGAAAAATGCCCATGCCCTTCCAGCACCACTCTTCCCACCATGAAATGCCCATGCCCAGCACTCTTCCGACCTATGCTGAAGCGAGCTCTCCTCGGTGCCCAAGAAGAGCATGTGCTCACAGAAATGTGCCAGTCCAGGAACTTCGTCCGGATCACTGAAGTAGCCTCGCTGGCTCGCGACTCGCCGCTGCGGTGGTCAACGAACGCCAAAGACCACACCGGTCTACGGCGGTGGTCAACGAACGCCAAACGGAAGTGGATTTTCACCGATCGTCTTTCAACTCTTGTCCTTTTCGCTCCAACCCACCTTCACCACAGAACGCCCCAAAACGGTGCGGGGACGCGTGAAACGCCCGCGCGTTTCGCGCCCGCGCGAAACGCCTCGCGCCTCGCGCCTACGTGCACGTCCAGTGCCGCGGCCGCCCGATCTGCATTGGGATCAGAGCAGCACAGCACGCGGAGGCCATTGCGCAGGGTCAGCGCCTGATAATTGCCTTCGGTGGAGCAGGAGAGTGGGGGTTCTGGAGGGAGGAGAAGAAGAACGTTCTTGGGTTCGGTCTGCGAGTGAACGGACCTGAGAGCGAGAGCCACGGCATCCTCACGGCATCCTCTGATGAAACGCACTGATGAAACGCACTGAACATCCTGCACCGCATTGGTTTGTGCCGGCAAACAGGACGAGATCCGACAGTGAACAAAATACACGCTGGAGTCTGGAGTTATGCCGGAAAAGTACCGTGCAATGTCATCATTTTACCCTAAGAATTCGGTATACCTTTGCAACACTTTGCAGCTTCAAGCCCTTTCTTGCTTTTGCCCATGTTGACCTCTCAAAATGCACACAATGGGCTCGGGCCTCGCATGTCGATGGTCTCGGCCCACATTTGGGTCTTTGTTCCATCTCACCATCCGATCGCCCAAACTGCGACCCAGCTGCGATCGTCCAAGGGACTTTTCTCCTTGGCGCTGCGGGCTGGAGACCACAAGTAAACACCGTCGAATCAGGTCAACAAGTTCCCCACTGTATTTTATACATTACTCCTGGCACAACATGTTCAATGACATGACCGCTAAAATACAGCTGACTCTCTGGCACCTCCAGATTTGCAAGCCTCAACAACGATGTCAAAAACCGCTGCACGCAGCATGGAAAATCATCACCTTCTCGCCCAGCATCCACCAACTCCAAACGCGCGTCTTTGGCGCGTCCCGTCTTCGCCCGCGCCGCGCGCGGGCGCCGCGCCGCGAGGGCGGCCGCAACGGCGGCGGAGGCACTGAGCTGGCGTCGCCTTAGGGAGCCGCACAAACCTCGTCCACCTTCGATCTGAACGAACGAGACCAAGGGCATCAACTACGAACGCAGCCAGGACGCTACCTTCGGGGCGCTGGCCTTACGAACGTAACTAAGAAGCTACGAACGTCACGTACGTAACAAAAGGGCATCCATCTGCTTTCGCCAAGGTACGAGATTCGGTTGTGCCTCGGTTCAGGTCCACCCGACTCGGCCCCCCGAAGTCGCCAAGTCGCCCCAGGGCGCCGCTGTCGCCTCGCTGCCCTTTGCGCTCGCGGCCGCTCGGCAGAGCCTGGCGAACGCTGCCCGCCCGGTGGCGAACGCGGCCCGGTGGCACGCTGCCAGGCGAACGAAAGAACGAGGCTTTGAATGAATACATTGGAAGCCAAAGAGGATGAATGGATATGGATGTCGCGAGAGAGAGGATGTATTCTTGCCTCTATCAAGAATGAACGTCAGAAACATAGCAAGGCTATAAGAGGTGGGCTTCATTCAAGCTACTCCAGAAAGGGAAAGGATCTAACATGGACTGTGGCTCAAGCAGAATGGCTGCTATGCTCGCAAGCAGAATGGTCTACAAGGTTCCCCATCTCCAAAGAGACTCCGAATGTCGTCGGAGACGGGCGCTGCTTCGCGCTGCCGGACAAGTTGTCATAACACCGCTCCCCAAGAAAGAGCTCGGCCCGCCAAGAGCTCGAGCTCAAGTCATAGGACCACCACACTACGCAAAACTTCACAACTTCAGAACTCTTCGAGAGAACTGGAAGAAGAGACGTCCCCACTAAAGGGAAGGGCATTCAAATCCGGTGGAAACCACCAAGCAACGCGGTTTGAAAAACAAGTTCTCTTAGGAAGAGCCACTCAACAGATCAGGCCGCTTTCTTTTTGGATCCCACAACCCATCGACCCGGCGATGACAACCAGCATAAACACCCCAAACACCACTGATTCCTGGGCTTTGCGCTGTCTCTCCCAGCGACTTGGTTGGAGAGGTTCTAGGCATTCAGGCAATTTGGGAGCATGGTTGGACAGGTTGAAAGTGCTTCACCAAGCATGTCAAACAGCTGCCAGTCCAGCATGTCAAAACAGCTGCCAGTCCTTGTAGTCAATGGCTTCGTAGCAGATCTGACAAACAAGAACTTTGGCTTATTGGGGGATGAGCCTCGGCCAGCAACTCCAAAAACCTCTGTTCGTGCACCATACAGTCCAAAGGAAGTTGATGCTTTCCACCCATCGCATCCATCGCGTCAATCGCGCGGGCACCTCGCGCGAGGACGGTGGTCGCCGGCGATGACGCCCGCTGGCCACGTCGACCCCTGCGGCCGAAGCGGACGCGGTGGAACGTCGGAGGTGGCGAAACGGGATCAAGTCCAGTCGTGGGCGAAGAGCCAGGTCCGGACCCATGCAACGATGGTCCCTGGGACCATCTCACCAGAAGGTTTACACGGGAGATTGTTTGATGTCTCAGAAAGGGCTGACTTTCTTCCTCCTCCCTTCTGACCATCCACATTTGGGTGACCCTCATGCCATGAACAAACGAAGATCGCAAACATGGCTGGAGGATCATCGTGAGAGGATGCTGGCATTGAGAATCTGCCCACTAAGTAAACCTAGGACCAAAGGCTGTATGGCAGAAAGGCAACCTTGACACTGGAGGTGTCATTGAGAACCCGGTCTAATGATGTAGTAGATCTTATAGCCTTGATGCGCTCAAACTTCCTGCTTGAGTTGTGATCCGTAGCCCATGAATCAAAGATCGAAGTCCAACAAGTTCTTCAAATCAACTCCGACTGATCTGTGTCTCGGTGTCCAACCAGGAGAACCACCTCTCTCCACTCGGCCATCGGCACATCGGCGGAACCGCCTCGGCGCCCCACCTCGGCCCTCGGCGACTCGTCGATCCGGTGCGGCGTTCCGAACGAAAAAGACCGGGGGAATGGCCACCATGAAGTCCGGGTCGCCTAGCATAGGCCCGGTTCCATAGGTCCTGTCGGTCCGGTTCCATAGGCCTATCGTAGGGGGGGGTCCTACGATAGGTTCTTTGAAACACCGTCCACACGATCCAACATTGGGGTTCCAAGTCGAAATCCCAAAAAAGCGTCTGATTGTTGGGGTCCGTCTAGAGATCTCATTCGTCTTGACTTTCTGGGTGATCGCCAGGTCGCCTAGCCATCGCCTAGCCTCGAAACTCGGTGTTCGCCTACCCACTCTTTGGTGCCTTGCAGAACCCCCAGTTGTAGCCTTGTTGGTGTTCAAGTCACAACCGTGCCTGAGAGATCTCTAGTCAGACAACCCGCCTGGTGTTTTATGTTTGCTCAGATTGGAGGCCGCAGATGTTCAGATCTGTCCAAAGACAGGGTAGGCAAGGACATACCAGGATCACTGTCCAAGTCCGCTGCTTACGAGTACCAAGGTCTTGCTTGACCTCTGATCTAAGAATCTAAGGAAAATGGTAGTCTACTGTGGCAAAAAGGTCCAATACTCAATTTTGGTATATGCTATGTAAATGTGGTCCTTTCCAAACTGTTGAGGCAACAGTATCTATTTTCACAAACTCCACTTTGTAATCCCGTGCATTTGGGCTCCCCACCACGTGGAGAACGGCGCAAGAGGCACCCCAGGCATCGGCAATTTGAACATTTTCTCGGATGGACACTGATGCTTCCATGGTCACATGTGCAGCATGTTTTGGTGTTGGGAGGTCGGCACCCCAACAGCCGCACCGGGGCCAGAAAGCTGAAAACTGACCCTCTATACAACTTGCACCAGTATATATATATAATATATATATATATGAATGGTGCGAGTGTGAATCACCAAGCGGAGAACGATCAATCTTTGCCTTGGTTCCATCTGCCTTGTGAAAGGTGGTTAGGCGGTTTGTGTGGTGACAACACGGCAGCCGTGTTTTCAAAGGATTACTGTATGCTGTATGCGAGACTTCCTGAAAAAACACTGCAGAACACCGGGTCGGTCGAACCACCGCCACCGGCGAACTCAGCTGGTCGAAATCACCTGGTGGAAATCAGTTCAACGAGAGGTCCGTTTCAAAAAGTAAACAGCACTGCAAGTGACGTGAAACCGAACACTGAAACACAAATCAAAAAACACTCGGCTACCCTGTAACGAAGCGCCTCTGCAGATGTTTTTGGCCAAGAGTTCCACAGCGCGCCAATCCATTCTCTTGGTGTGCAAATGTTTGTCCGAGTGTCTCGCTAATGCGAACAAGAAGCGCCGCAACTCAGGTGTAGGGCGCCGCCTTCGACCCTACTGTTCCATCGAACTTTGCTGTTGAATGACTTGAGCACGCAGGAGCTATGTCCTGCACCAGCAAGAGCTGTCTGCACATGACCAGCGGACCGGCTCAGCTTGGTCCAGCTTCACGAGCATCTAAAATTGGGGGTGCCAAGCTGGAAGCTTAAGAGTATTACTAGCAGCTAGCAGCTATCTGAAAGTGTTACCTGTCCTAGTTTGCGTCAAGCCCTGAGAAGGCGCGTCAAATGATTCACGGCTATAACCAAGGATTTGGTCGCTTGGCACTTCCTGGACTTCACGCACCTTTGGTCGGGTACAGTGAAGAAGTCGAATACAACGAATTGAGATGCTGGAGGCATGCCTCATGATGGACGTCATTGAGAGTAAATGTTTACTGTATTTGTCCTTTGCTGAATCACAAGCCCTCATTCCTCCTCAACCAAAAACGAGCTCAGGTTGGAGTGCAAGCATGCTGAAACCGAGGACATCTTCTCCGTTTGCGTCTCCGTCTAACACGCACATTGTCCACAATAGAGCACAGCTCTAGAAGTCGGGCAGGTAAAAGAAGTTGCTCGATTTTTTGCACATTGTCTTGAAGTGGCTCTGCCAAATGCTCTGAAGATCTGGGATGCTGCCAAAGCGCCCAGAAAAAGAAGAAAGCACACAGCTTGGATGCGGAAAGTTGTGCTTCTGAAGGGTTCTGAACACACGAACTGCGTATTTGTCGGACTTTGTTTCAAAGCGCGCACTTGGCCACCTCCAACAGGTGTGTGGAGCCAAACATGTCAGGCCAAATTTATCAAGGCTGTCTCGCTAGCACGCTCCAGCTGAAGCCAGCTGATGATGTCTCTGATGTAACTACCAGCATTCTTGTGCCTATTATTCCTGTTGGATGCCGTCAAATGCCTGCTTTTGAGAGCAACTCTCGGAAGAACCTCATTGCTGCTGGCAGCTTCATGCTATGCTGTTGTGACATGCTCGATCATGTTCGGTCTAACACTTTGATTGCATCCAAAGATACCCAGAGGCCCCAGAAAAGCTCAAAAGCAAGCAGCATTGAACTGTTTGGGTAGTCCTGATGGATTCTTTCGCACAATGGTGTAGACACTGTAGCCGTCCAAGCTGATCCAACACATGTTTTAGCCCGTGGACAGGTTCCATATCACCATGGTCCGCTTTTTGGCTGAAACAAGTCATCGGACTATCTGCTGCATCGTGCAGACTTTGTGATGACATCGGGATCTGGTGCCAAGCTTTCCTTGTGCACCCCCAGTCAGCTATGTCTATGTTTGTTTCAAGTTTGCCGGATTCTCCGCACACTGCTAGTTGCAAAAGGTTGCAGCAACCTCGCAACTACTATGGACGGCCTCACTAACGTGGTCACGAATGGTCAAGACCAGTGCTGGCAAGTGGCAAATGCCGTGTGTTTCTTCAAAAGGCCGAAGCAATCCATAAAAATAGCAAACGCATCTGGCACGCAAGGGGGCCGCAAGCAACTCAGGCCTAGATACAGCAGCTCAAGGTACTTTTTTCGAACGCCGGCAGCAACAGCTTGCCTTCGTCAACAAGCTGATCATCTTGCAAGTGAGCCCACATAGAGTCACACTTCATTTGATATGATATTTTGGTGGGGACTTAGTCAAGGCAGCAACCGCCTGGAAAGCAACACAATTCCGCTTGCTAGAAGTGTGGAAGCATCCAATGGGGCTGCCTCCAACCTGTATGCCCTGCAACTGCAAAAGGGCAAGGGATTTCAGTCATGAATGGCTGAATGGCAGTGAATGCTGGATGGGACTTGTGAATCAGAAAGCCGCTCCATCTTCAAAAGCACGTCCAAAAGACCAATGCTCAGGCAGAAGCTGATCCACCGCTCGCTCCTCTCGTTGTCATTTTTTGCACGTGAAACACCAAGCGTCTCCATCTGAACGCCAGACCTGCTCTCACGCAAAGTCGCTTGGACAAGTGGCTTGAGAACAAAAACGGATTTTGTGACCAAAAGGCTAGATTCCATAAAGATCTGCCAGGGTCTGGGAGACCAAACTGCATGTTCACCAGTGCTGTTTTTGAGACTTTGGATGGAATCGGCCTATCCCCGAAGGATTACCCCCCTGCGCAAAAAACTGCCGCAATGTAGACTGCGGCTAGGTGGACAACAGCCCAGAAAATGTCACCTCTTTGAAGGTGAAGGACCTGGGTCTTCAATGGCCTATAGATTTTGGACCCCTCAAGACACACCTTTTGGACATCGACTCAAAATGAAAAATGGCCTCCACAGAAAGACCCTAGCTGAATCAGTTGGGAACCAAGTGCCTTTGGTTCCCAGCCCACCTGAATCAAGCCCAACAAAGACGATGCGAGTTTCAGCTTGTAGATGTCTACAGTTTCAGCTTTGCATCCCTTCGAAACAAAACTGGCCGCGGATCGTATGCTAAGTTTAGCTACCGTTTGATGTGAACAACGGATCTTGAGACACACACACTGTGTGACTGAGAAGCTCGCAAGGTTTCGAACCTGGCAAGCAGGTGGGTTTCGGAGCTCCAACCCCCTTCGGAAGCATCGTTTCGATGCCTGTTTCTGAACTCGCCAGGTCGTGAGTCTGGGGAACACAGTGCAGTTTACTTTGCCCGCGGGTGGGATGTGGGTGGAGTTGCTTTCGAAAAGCCATTCCTTAAATGCACCTTGGCAAGCCTTGCTCGTGGCGCGCCTTCAATGGTTCACCGCTCTTTTGCGTGCAGAAATGACTGGTAGTCACCTTTGAGGAGTTGGCAATCAACAGTAACAACCACAGTGATGTTGGGAAAGGACTCTTGGCACATCCAGTATGCTCACTACAAACTGACCCTTGTCTGTACTTGCAGATTGTCAAAAAAAATAGCAGAATGGTTGCAACAATCAAAAATAGGCTTTGACCTAGCATTCGATGCCCAAGCCAAAACTCAACGAGTGCTTGGTTTGGGGGATGGAAGTTGCGATCCAGGTGAGGCTTACTCGACTATTGCAGCATCCTTGATGGAGGTCCTAACCTGTGCTTCAGCAATTGACATTTCTCGTCATCCTTTGAGAAGAGAAATGTCCTCCAGATCTCCTTCAAATCCAGTCTGGTCGAGCACAAAGCCTATCGCCGTCATCATCTTCACCTCATGAACGGTTCTGAACGGTTCGGAACGTCTTGGAGCTGCGAAACGAGCCACAGGCTCCCTTTGGGCGGAAAAAGCTCACAGGCGCTCTCTGTCCTTTACACACCAAATAACTAGCTAAAGCCTTCTTCGGTTAGTGGAGAGTCCATGACAGCATGGGTCGACTTCAAGGCATCAGAAGAATGTTGGCAGCCTGTGTGGCAAACCATGCCTACACGTTGCATACCTTGGCCTCCAAGGCGTCAATTGGGATTCTCCTACTGCCAACTACCAACCAGACAAGATGCTGCCAGCTTTCTGACATCTTTTGACTGGGGAAGCTTCAAAGCCTCTTCTGCTTCAAGTGTTGCTGATGAAGGTGCGCGCTCAGAGCATAACCTGGATAAGAATTATGATGTGCAAGACAGGTCCTGCATGTTCCTCAATTGAAAGACTGGTCAACTGGCCCGACTTGTCAATTTACTTCCGAGTGCACTATCCAAGACTAGCATCTCGGATTTACCACTTGGCAGGCTGAGTTCCAGCTCCCTCTCAGTTGGAAAGCATACGCTCAGTTTGTCGATATCAAACGATGTGCTTTGCAGACTCAATGTTGAAATCCGAGATCAACCCACAAACCACATTGCCCCACAAATGCACGGCCTTCTAAAACAAGGCCTACGAAGCTCTCTCTCCGAGAACTGACCTCTAGAATTAAGTCTTCTTCACGGTGACAGTTGCGGCTAGAAGCGCTCTGAGGGCAATTTCAGAAAGCATTGAAGCAAGCGTGTCCTGCAACTAAGAACCTTGGTCCGTTCAACATTCAAAATCCTGAAATGCTTGCAAAATTCAACATCTTCAGTTGTAAATGCCTCTGCGTTTCACTCTGCATCAAACAGCACAAATCCGTTTGGTAAGCTCTGTGGAAAAGCCGTGGCACAGCAAACGAGGTAAGGGGAAGGACTATAAGCATCACCGGTTGAAGTTCAGTTCACACATGGCTAGCTGCCACACTCCTTTGGCATCATCAAATCCCAAAAAGAAACTATGCTCTTGATCCAAAGAACGTGCTGTTTTGGAGAGCTGCGAAGAGGTTCACCGCTTGCGCCTCGTTGCAAGGTTTAAGGCTCTGACAGGTCTCAATCGTAGGTGCAGTATGAGAGCCAGGAAATGAATCAAACTTTGACCGATGATCGTAGCATCTCAGGTGCTTGAGCTGATGTTTCATTACCAGAAACAACAATGTATCTCCCCTTTTGACTAGGGAAAAAAGCATTGGTGAGCTTTGTCAGCAA